TTCGGTTCTTGCCGAGCTGACGCTGCTGAAATACCCGTGGCCTCGGAGATCTGCTCTGCGTAAAACCGGCGGGCTCGGGAGACCGACACCGTCATTTCAAAGCAGATGCGAGGGTCGTTCACCAAATATTTTATTATGGTTTTTAGGCTGCTTCATACAGTTTCGTCCTGCACATGCTCTACAAGTCACCTGTGCACATAGAGAACAAGCCAATAATAATAATAATTAATAATAATAATAATAGAAAAAATCTACCATAGCAATCCCTTAAATAAGTAAATAAACATTATATATATATATATAAAACCCTTTAAAATAAAGCGAAACCCAACCAAAAGAACAGCGTCTTTTCAACATGAAACATCCCCGCGGGATAAGGGCAGGCGCTCGGACATTTTGCAACTTGGCATTCGGTTGTTTTGTTGTTATTGTTGTTTTGTTTGGTTTTGGTTTGTTGTTTTTCTTTTTCTTTTTTTTTTGTTTCAACGTTTTGCGGGCTCTCTTAAATTTAATTTAATTTAATTTTTTTCTTTTCTTTTTTTTTTTTTTTAGGCATCAATTCTGCAAATCCTTCCACATAAAGGCGACAACGACTTCTCTCACGTTTTTTAATGCGGTGTGCTGCGGGGCTGGGGGGGAGGCGTGGGGCTGGGGAGCGCCCCGTACCCCGGGTTTGGCCACCGCGGGTGGGCTCGGGCCGTGCGGGCAGGGGTCGGCCGGGCCTCCCGTTCTCCCCTTCCCGCCCCCCCTCCCCGGTTTCTCACGGCGGTGCTGTCAGATGTCACATTCACTGTCGCTGGATGTGATGGAGATGGCGGAGGTGGCCGCTTTGCTGGAGAGGCTGGCTGCGGGGCTGGAGGCGGCCCCCACCGCCTCCCCGCCGCTCTCCTCCTCCGCCTGCAGCCCCCGCACCGAGCCCTGCGTGAGGACCTGCTGCTGTAGCCTGCAAGGAACCGGCACACACAGCATCACCGCCCGGCCCTCCGTGCCCCGCACACCCCGCCGCAGCCCCCTTCATCCCCCCCAACCCCGCCCCCGGCAAGGGAACTGCTCCCACCAGCACCCCCAGCTCGCACCAGTTATCCCAGTCTGGCGGCGCGGTCTGAGAAACTGGGGTGGCCACCCCAGGGGCCTGCCCCGCTCCTGGGCCGGACACCCCGAGGAGCGGGGGGGATGTCCCCCCCCAAGTCCTCTCCCCACATCCGAGGGGTCGGTGGTTCCCTGCAGCATCTCCGCTCCCGCAGGCCTGCCTTCTTCCCTCCCGGCCCATAACAGAGGGGCAGCGCCCCTTCCCCCGACGTGAGGGCCGCCCGGCTGCGCGCAGTGGCCGGGGGGACTGCGGGGTGACAAGTTGACACCCTCTCCCCCCTCCCCGGGGTCCTGGAGGGGAGATAACGGGGGACCCCGCTCCCTTCCTCGCTTCCAGGGGCATCTGGTTGTGCCACTGGTGTAGGGTGGAACCGCGCTTTTGGAGTCGCGGTTTTATTCTTTAAAATAATAATTTAAAAAAAAATAAAATAAGAAGAAGAAGAAAAAGGAGAGGAATAAGAAAATTATCCCCGGAGACGTTCCTGGCTTGGGCCGGCGGAGGTCTCGGGGTCTCTGCAGGGCCCGCAGAGGGGCATTGCCCGCCCCCCGGCTCCGGATGCACCGGGAGGAGACGGGTATCTGTAGGTCCGGGAAAAAAACTTCGAAGGGGGGGGGGGTTCTCTCCGCATCCCCGCTCAGGGCGGCCCCTCCGCCGCCGGGCCCCGCCGGGGTGACGGCAGCTTCGCCAGCGCCTTACCCGGGGGGGTCTCTCTCCATCTCCCCCTCCCAGGAGCGGCCAAGGGGGGAGCCCGGGCAGGGACCCTCCCCTCTTCCAAATAAATGAATAGCTGTCGGGTTTCCCCGCTGCTCCCACGTTAGCTATCGACGTTTCCTGGGGAGAAACTTCCCGGGCTCGTTTCCCCGTCCCCCGAGGCGGGGCTGCCCCCGCCGGCTCACTCGTACCGACACCCCCCCCTCCCCTCCTCCTCCCGGTCTCGGCGGGCGGGGGCGAAGCCTCCCCAAGGAGGCGGGGGGGGGAGCTGTGCCCCGACGGGACGGGCAGCACCTTACCTGTTCTTAGCGGCTGCTGCCCTGTCCCTTTGCCGGCGGTTTTTGAACCAGTTGCCCACTTGCGTGGGGGTAAGTCCCGTGGCCTGAGCCAGTTCCCGCTTTTTGCTGGGGTTGGGGTAAGGGTCCTGCAGGTACCACTCCCGCAGCAAATGCCTCGTCCGCTCCTTGAAGCAATGTGTCTTCTGCTCGCCGTCCCAGATGGTGCGGGGCAGCGGGAACTTCTTCCTCACCCGGTACTTGTCCACCGGCCCAAGGGGTCGGCCCCGCAGCTTCTCCGCCTCCTGGTAGTGCGCTTCCAGCCAGAGGGCTTGCAGTTTGGCGTGGGACTCCTTGGTGAACTTGTGGTTCTCCAGGATGTGGTAGAGCTCCCGGTAGTTCCCCGTGTGGAAGGCCACGATGGCCCGGGCTCTCAGCACCGACTCGTTCTTGTTGAGGGCCTCGCAGGCCGCGGGGGCCACGGGCAGGGACCAGAGGAAGCGCCCCAGGCGCTCGATGTCCCCGCTCTCCTCCAGGGTCTCGCATACCCCCGCCACCTGCTGCGGGCTGAAATTGAGGATGGGCAGCTGGAACATGGAGGCGGCCGCCGGGCTCCGAGCTCCGCGCAACCCCCGCCGATGCCCCGCAGCCCGGCCGCGCACACCCCCGCCGCGGGGAAGCGGGGCAGGGGCCCCCGGCGGCCGCCCCTGGCTCCGC